CCGTACATGCATTTTTATGATTGTAATGTTACAGTGCATATTAATATAAGATACATCCGCTTATTTCGGACCATCCTATTCGGACTCAATATCTCAAAATTTATTAAAAAAAACTATTAAGCAAATATGTTCAGAGTAGAAATACATGTGTATATTTTTTCCCTCAAGTTTTAATGGGAGGTTGTTGCTCTAGAAGCTCTTTTGAACAGGAAGATGGAACTATTAAGTTCCGTCTTATCCATGGTAGACGATATCATAATCTTTCGGATTTAATGTATTTTGTCGCAAATGACGATGAAGAAGCCCATCGTTTAAGTGGATATCATGAAGGTAAAAAAATTTTTGCTTTAATTCGTGATGCATATCTAGAATACATTATAAATGTGATATAATAAATTTTAGCATTAAAAGATATTTGGGGAGGACTATTTAATTCAGCTGTTGAAGAGAAATTGAGACAAGGCGCTCGTGTTATTGATATTGGGTATGTATTGGGTGATGTTCTTTTATAGATATTGGATTTTAGATATGTTAATATCTCTTTAATTTTATAAAAAATAAAAAGATGCGGGACTGGAATTTGGATTTTGGTAAACAATTTTATTCTATTATTAGATAGATGCTTCTTTAAATTAACAATTAATTCATAAAAATAGGATATGGCACAGCAATATCCAAATTCAAAGTTCGTAGGAATTGACATATCTCCAATACAGCCAACAGAAGGTCTTCCTCCAAATGTGAAGTTTATTCAATATAATGTGTTAGACGGATTACCATATGAGGATTCATCTTTCGATTTAGTTCATCAACAATTCATGGTTCTCGCTTTTACGGAAACACAATGGGAAGAGAAAGTTATTCCAGAATTAATAAGGTTAACTCGGCCAGATGGATGGATCGAGATTCTAGAAGTTGGTCTTGCCACTTCTGATGGAACCATTACAATGAGACTTACAAAAGCTGGTAATTAAAGAATATTGGTATCTTTAATTAATAATAGGATTTATTTATTTTTTATTTTTAGTTAGTGATTTTATGACATCGAAGGGGATGAACGATACGATTGGTAAAGAAATTCCGCGCATCCTTGAAAACACAAACGCGTTTTCAGAAATCAGAAATCAACAGAAAGTTCTATATTTTGGTAAAAAACATGGCAAATCTGCGGAAGAGGTAAATAAATATGTACCTAACGAATTAGTAACAAAATATAATATCATACATTTCCTCTAATATAATAGCTTTCTTCTACTTGTTTCATACAAAGTCTCTAAAATTTTATGTCCGTGGTCTCAGTTCTGCTAAAGGTTTCATAGCGACCTCGATGAATATAATGCCCGAACATTATGATGCTCTCGTAGAAACCGTATCCATTGAGGCGGAAAGATATTCTACTTATTTTAATCAATATCGAATCTGTGCTCATAAGATTTAAATCTAGTAAATTGTAGCTTATAATTTATTTTACAAATATGTTGTTTTATTGTTATTATATTGTTTGTATCTATTTTTATTCATTCTTATAATTCTATTTACAAATTTTATAATTTCGAACCCTAACTGAAAGATAAATTTTATTACTTTGTATTTTTATTTACACTTACCTTATCTTTATAAAAATTCTATATATACTATGAAGACGCGTTTATTGAAATGAAAATTTATAGATTGTGTTTTTACGTACGCATACATACGTATTATACGCATAGTCCGAGTGCATAGTCATCAACCGCTGTTTTAAATACATGTCAATTACATGCACATACTTCGTTGAAACTTGCATGTATTGATATAAATATAATTACTTTGAAAATCCCAAGTATCAATGAATTAATTTTATAATTCGATGTACACATCTGCGCATATGTCCAAATGCTATAATTGAGAACAAGCGATCATTTTTTGGTATAAGCTTAAAAAATTCCAGTAGTAGCTAATACAAGATACAGTCTACTCTCCATATATGCACGTCCCTTGGGAGTGAGCCAAAGCGTGCATATATGGAGGGTGTGCATATATGAAGAGTCAACATTCTATTGGTTGCACGTGATATATATTTAATTTATTTATAATAATAATAAAGACAAATTAAAATATCCGTTTAGTTTTCTCTACTATTATTAACTAAAAAAATTGTCTATGGTTGTTTGTTTCTTTGCATTTATCAAATTTAAAGTAATGTAATAATCAAGAGCATTAATATGTTTAAACAACTCTTTAGAATCTTCTTACTATTGCAAAAAGAAATGAACTAATTCTAAACTCTTTATAGCATCATTGGCATTGATCGTTGGTGGTTCAATGCTATCATCAATTTCAGTATCATCAATATGAATGTCTGATAGTTTTTTATACAGTTAATAAGCCCTTCAATAAATATGTTTTTATCAGATACTTCATAAATTATTTTTTCTTTTGGATTGTTCAAAAATTTATCAATTAACATGCTATTGGATAAGTTAAGATCCATAACTACTTGTGTAAGCTCTTTGTGCATTGATTCATTATTGCAAGAAAGCTTACTCAAATCATTATTGATACTAGTTGGAAGAATATTAGTATACTTCCAACAATTACTGATTGTTATCAATATAATTTCATTTCAGCTTTTAATAATATAATTTATGGTCTGTAACACATCCATTTTCAATCCTTTTATATTGTTTACTTTTTGAACTTCACTCAAAATTTATCTAACATGCAAATAGTAATAGTATCTTTTAAAAGAACTAATTATTTCTGCATCCATTGGTTGGATTTTGGCAGTTGTATTTGGAGAAAGAAAATATATATCAATATTTGAAAGATTCATACCAGTTGTCTTATGGCATGAGCAATTATCCAAAAGTAACAATATGCATTAATTTTTGTATCATTTAATTACTTACTTATTAAATTTCTGAAGTTATTCTTGAAATATTGTTACTAATATTCAAGTCTTTTTATTATTACAGTATATTACTAGCAAATTATTAATATTAATATTAGTAAAATATTACAGTTTTGTAAATTTATCAATTATCAATAGATTTAGTTTATGAGAACTGTTGATATTTATATATAGAGCTATTATAAGTCTTTTCTTATCTTTTTTTATATCTTACAAGTCTGTGTGTAACTAATATTTAATCTAGCTCTAATTTATAAAAGAGATCAGTTTTATTTATATTATATATTAATTAAAAGGATATATCTTACAAATACTTTTTAATAATGACAAGATATTAATAATAGTATTATTATCTATTAATAATACTTTCTTATGAAGCTTTTGCAAATTTAGTTTATTATAATTCTTAAATTTTTGGAGCCAATCTGCAAAAAATTTTAATATTCTATCTGAAACTTTTAAGCTATTAGCAAGTTACTTGACTTTCTCAATTAAAAGTATATTACTTAAAATAATTCTATCTTAATAACATAAAATAAACTCTTTTAGAGCAAGCTTAAGTTTAGGAATCAGTATGATCTTATATTATTTTACATTTGATTAAGTGACTTTAACACTAAGTATCTTATCATTTTTTTTCAAAATTCTTAATATAATTAATTCATTCACTTGAATTTTCTATTTTTTTTGATCTAATTAATATATTCTTTTCTAATTAGTTTATTTTGATAAGCATATAAACAAAGCTTATATTTTTGAGAATCAGATAAATTAATCCTATTTTTTAATATTTTATTTAAATATTAATAATAAGAATAAGTATTTATATAAATATCCATCTCTAATAAAGATATTAATAAATATATTTATTATAATTATAAAATTCTTTATATAATTCATAATATCAAATACTAAAGATAAGCCTATAATAAAAATATTAAGTAATATATTTATTTATTTTACAAATAATTAAAAAATTCTTTATCTATTATTAATTTTTTATTATCTATTAATATCAAATGAAAGAAAAAATAAAAACTATTAAACAAGCAATTTCAATATAATAATTTATAAATTTAATCAATAAGTTGATACAATATATAAATATAATAATTTACTAAAGAAATAGAATATGAAAAAAAATTGGTGAGATATAAATATTTTACTATTAAAGAATTATGTGAAAATAAAAGTAAGTAAATTATATTTGTTAAAATAATACATATCAACTAATGCAAATTTTATTTTTATTTATTATTTTCTTTATATACTAATAATTTTTTTTAAATTTTTTTAGCATTTTATATAATATAATTAACTTATATAAGTAATTAAAAACAGTAAAAATAAGTATAAAAGCTCTTTTTATTACTTTAATTTTTATAAAATACTTTTAATCATTCTAAATAATAATTCTAATCATATTTTATTTAAAAAATATCTTGAATCTCTCAAGAAAAATATTCATATTATGAGAAGAAGATTATTTAATATGAAAAATTGCTATTTCAGAGCAGATGAATCTTGTATTAGTCTTACAAATTTGCAAAAAAAAGAAAAAAATCAGAACTTTTAATGATTTAAAAAAACTAATCACTTATATCTTCTAAATGATTATTATGAAAGATATACTATTTGGTTATTAATAATTGAATAATATTTTATTACTGTAAAGATCAAAATCAAACTTAAATTTAATCTTGAAATTGATATTTTTATAGAGAGTATACAGTAAATATTCTGGAAAAATAGTTTGTTTTCAAAACTAAATGCAAAAAGCTAATACTTAAAAAGATATATCAAAAATAACAGCTTACTTAGACAAAGAAATACTAAGATTTTATGATTAATAATTAGAGATTATTTCTCTGGTCTAATAAAAATAAGTTCTAGCTTTTTGAATCAGATAGTTATAAGTACTACTAGGTAAAAATTAATGAATAACTAAATCAATATCAAATTATCTTTATAATAAAGTTTAATAATAGTATTATTACCATAGTGACATAAAATTTCTTAATTTCTTAATCTTTCCCTAGTTATGAAATATTACATTTTATTATAATTT